AGTCCCGTCGCCCCCTCCACCGATTCCTCCGCCGCTGATAATCTTCCCGCCACCATTAGATATTTCCCCACCGCCGCAGTTACCATTCCCGTGGCTAACACCGCCACCATTTGTCTCAATAAGCCCATCTCCGCCGCTGGTTGTTTTTCCACCGCCGTTACCGGTTACTCTTCCCCCCGATCTATCCACACCGGCACCCCCACTTGTCCCCATACTTACTCCGCCGCAGGAGGATCCCATCTCAACACTTCCTCTGCCTCAACTGCCATTCACATTTACTCCGCCGATAATCTCAAATCCGCCGGACATTCCCCAGAATCCAGAGCTGCCGCCGGAAATACCCCAGAATCCAGAACAGCCGCCGGACATGCCACAGAATCCGGAACTGCCGCCGGACATGCCACAGAATCCGGAACTGCCGCCGGACATGCCACAGAATCCGGAACTGCCGCCGGACATACCCCAGAATCCAGAACAGCCGCCGGAAATACCCCAGAATCCAGAACAGCCGCCGGACATGCCACAGAATCCAGAACAGCCTCCAGCGATAATAATGCCGCCTCCGTTGGTTCCAGACACTCCGGTTGAGACCCTGCCGTTGATATCGACGCCGTCGGGAACAAACTCCGCTGAACTAACGGTGCCTGACTCCCCTCCCTCAAATAAATAATGATTTTTACTTTTTTTTTAAGAAAATGAATTTTACTGTAATTTTAATTTTTAAGTGTGTTTTGATTTCTTCTTTTCTTTTACTTTTTGCAAAATAAGAAATGCATTAAAAGCAAGAAATTATGAACTACGGAAGTACAAGTAGCAATTGAAAAAAATGTTAGGTATAATTTCATTGTAAAATTAGTCAAAAAGAAAGTCCATCATACTCTCTCCGTCCCAATTTGATTACAAATTGCAGGTTATATAGTAAAATTTTCTACTTTTTGAAATCATTTTATTTACAAATTGGTATATTAATAAGATATAAAAATTACATATTATAAAATTACGTCAAAAGTTCTACAGAACAAGAGGTGACAAGAATATTTTATTTTATTAAATATTTGATGAAATCGCGTAAACAAATAAAAGTTATCGAGAGGAGAGAGAGAAAAATTGTAATCTATTTAGGGACGGAGGTAGTACATGTCAAAAAGATACCCTTCAATCCAAATATGAGTTTTGATCGATTTAATTTTAATTTAATTTATTTAATTTTTTTATAAAATATAAAATTTAAAATTATATAGAGTATTTAAAAATTGCGAAAAACTTTATAAACTAGAATGACATGACTTTATTATTGTATGTGATTAATAACGAAAATAATCAAATAAAAAATATAAAATTTAACTATGTTACTAGAAGAATATAGTAAAATTTGCACTAAATAAGACTAAAACATAATGACTTTCCCAATGTAGGACTTAAACTTTTTTATTCCCTAAATAGGACTTAATAATGACCTCGTGGAGGAATAATGTCAAGTAATGATGGACATTTACTTGAATAATGACTACTTGATAATGACCAAAAGTCCTACATTGAGAAATAAAAACATATGGTCCTATATTGGGAAAGTCATTATGTTTTAGTCTTATTTAAGTAAATTTCTCAAGAATATATAGTGTAAACGAAGGACTCCCTATATGCCTACATTTAGAAAAAGAGAAATGATAGAGTCACAAACATTTCTGTCACAAAATACACAAATTTACCATTTGTGTATTTTAATGTTTGTTTTTTAATTATTCAACATCATTTTATTCATTTAGTGCCATGCACAAATGACAAGTTTGTGTATTTTGTGACCGAAGTGTTTGTAACTCTAGTATTTTTTTTAGAAAAAAAGATCATGATGAACTCTTCATAAAAAACTCACACGTTTTAATTGTTAAAAAAAAAAATAACTGACTAAACCTCGAACATGAGACTCATTCTTTTTAATACTCGGTATGAAAAGTAGGCTCGGTTGCCATCAAATAACACCATGTGTCGATAACATACGCTATAAACTCACTTATTAGAGCACTGGAAATACCCGTGAAGCCCCGGGGCTTCAAAATTTCTCTCTCTGCCACGTCAGCTTTAACTTACCTCACAGATTCAGTGGAAATGGGTTTGAAGCCCTGGGGCTTCAAACCTTCATTTTTTACATTTTTAAATATACATATTCTAAAACTAAATTAATAAAATTTAATTTTTTCATTATATTGAAACAAGAATAATAAAAAAATACATTCATTAAATTTAAAGAAATTGAAACGACAATAATTTTAAAAAATTACATTCATTAAATTAAAAAAAGAAAGTGACATTAATTTAAAC